GTCCAGGCTCAGAGTTCAAGCTTCACGACCAACCAAAAAAAAAAAAGATATTCAATATTCAATGAGAGCTAGAGACATGGCTCAGGTGGTAGAGCACCAGCCGTGTGCAAGCTCTATTTAATTGTAGCTATTCCCTTGTAAACAAATAAAGCCATCAAACCCAGTTATATTTATTATGATCTTTTGTATCTTATAAGCCTACATTAAAGTGACAAGTTATTAAAAAACATGAATGAGAGTTGGGGGTAAGGGAAAGAAGGAACATATACTAGAACATACATTAACAGGCGATCTTATGGCTCTGTGGTTTTTTTTTTTTTGTCGGTGGTGGGGCTTGAACTCTGGGCTTGGGCGCTGTCCCTCAGCTCTTCAGCTCAAAGCTAGCGCTCTACCACTTGAGCTACAGTGCCACTTCCAGTTTTCTGGTGGTTTATTGGAGATAAGTTTCACGGACTTTCCTGCCTGGGCTGGCTTTGAACCTTGATCCTCAGATCTCAGCCTCCTGAGAGCTAGGATTACAGGCGTGAGCCACCGGCGCCCCACTCTGACTGTGCTTTATTACTATACATTTTTTGTTTTGGTCTGGTTGGGGGGCTTGAATTCCGGATTGGGTGCTGTCCCTGAGCTCTTCAGCTCAAGGCTAGCGCTCTACCACTTGAGCCCCAGTGCCACTTCCAGTTTTCTGGTGGTAATTGGAGATAAGAGTCTCATGGACTTTCCTCTCTGGCTGGCTTTGAACTGTGATCCTAAGATCTCAGCCTCATGAGTAGCTAGGATTACAAGTGTGAGCCACAGATACTTGGCTTTTATTACTATACTAAGAAAAATATTCATTTTGCTGCAGCTAACTAGCCTCCATCTTCTACACCAAATCCTACTCCATGCCATGGAAGTGCTGTGCAGTAACTCTCCCAAGTAGCACCTATAGCTCTGATAGGAAGGTATCACAGTAAAGATATGCAAAATAAAGTCGTCTATGGCCATGGAATGGGCCTGTTTGTCACTAAAACCTGTACTAGAATTTGCAGTGTTATCTGCTATAATGAACTCTTCTGGAATTACTTATTAATATAAGATTCAGAATAAATTAACAACGTATCTTAAAAAAATAAAAGCACTTGGGGCTGGGAAGGTGGCTCAGTGGTAGAGCGCTTGCCTTGCATGCATGAGGCCCTGGGTTCCATTCCTCAGCACCACATAAGCAAAAAGAAAAAAAAAAGCCGGACGTGGTGCTGTGGCTCAAGTGGTAGAGCACTAGCCTTGAGCTGAAGAGCTGAGGGACAGCGCCCAGGCCCAGAGTTCAGGCCCACTACCGGACTCCCCAAAAAAAATAAAAATAAAAAAAATAAAATAAAAGCACGGCCAGGCACCTGTGGCTTATGCCTATAATTCTAGCTACTCAGGAGGCTGAGATCTGAGGATCACAGTTCAAAGCCAGCCTGGGCAGGAAAGTCCGAGAGATTTATCTCCAATAAACCACCAGAAAATCAGAAGTGGCGCTGTGGGTTAAGTGGTAGAGCACTAGCTAGCCTTGAGCTGAAGAGCTGAGGGAGAGAACCCATGCCCAGAGTTCAAGCCCAATGACCGACAAAAAAAAAGCAGAGCTGGAAGCATGGCTCAAGTGGTAGGAATGCCAGTCTAGAAGCTTGAGGCTCTGAGTTCAAACACACTATGTATAATATAGTCTATATATATGCATATATATATGTATATAACACATATTGTCAATAACAAGGAAACACATGCTATAAGGTAGATGGACCTTGAAAAGTTTCTGAGAATTACATTATAAGGGCTAGGTGTGTGGCTCAAGTGGTAGTGTCAGCCCAGCAAATGTGAAGCTCTCATACTGGGAAAAAAAGAGGTCCAGAATAGGCAAATCTATAGACAACAGTTAATGATTGCCTAGGGTTGGGGGGAGTAGTAAAACAGTCTGGAGATACAGACCATGGTGATCATTGCACAACATGGTGAATCAAAAGGGGAGGGGTCATACTTAGCAGTGACACTTCTGCAATAAAGTCAGATGGGGCTAAGCCTGCTAGTCACAGGATCTGAATGCGTAAGATGGTCCACCCAATAGCCCTCTCTTTTCTGTGGTCATCTATCCTATTTAGTTCTAATGATCTAAGCAGATTATGTGGTGGTTCCACTTTTCTTGCTATGATTGGCTTAGGAGAGAGCAGGCCATATACTTCAGAAGAAACATAGGCTGCTGAAAGGCTTTCTGGAAAAGGTTTCATTGTTCTCAAGAGAATGGTCTTGCCTCTGGACATTGATGTAGTATTAAGCCTGGAGCTGAAGTGTGTCCTAAGGACAGAACAGAAACCACCAGCCTGTGTAAAGCCACTCCTACCTCAGGGCTTAAATCCCCTTTTGTGTAGTCATTACTGGGGTTTGAACTCAGGTTGCTAGGTAAATATTCTGCTTCCAGCCCTTCACATATTGTTTAAACCATTTGATTTTAGTGCTGTTTGTATGGCCCCAAATGCAGATGATTCCTCCTAAGACTACTTGGAACAGACTTGGAAAGTGCTGGGAAGGTCCACTTTTTTGGGGGGTGGGGGAAGGGGCATCAGTCCTGGGGCTTGAATTCAGGGCCTGGGCTCTGTCCCTGAGCCTCTCCGTACTCAAGGCTGGTACTCTATCACTTGAGCCACAGCACCACTTCTGGCCTTTTCTGTTCATGTGATACTAAGGAATCAAACCCAGGGCTTCATGTGTGCTAGTCAAGCACTCTACCACTAAGCCATATTCCTAGCCCCAGGTCCACTTTCATTGTGGTTACTACATTGACATTTTTTTTAATGGTCCAAAGCTGGTCAAGCCAGTCACTATGCCTGAGCTACAAAATAAGAATGCCCTCACTTCACAATCGGCCCTCAAATCAAGAACATATGGCCAAGCTGTTAGCACAGAATTTACTGTCAACAGACTAAGAACCCTAAATGTACCTTAATCAAGTTCTGGAGCTTTTGCTCCATTATCAACCTGTTAACCCTAGTCTGGGAATGTAGCTTAGTGGTAGAGTGCTTGCCTAACATGCATGAAGCCCTGGGCTTGATTTCTCAGTACCCCATAAACAAAAAGCTGGAAGTGAAGCTGTGGCTCAAGTGGTATAGTGCTAGCCTTGAGCAAAAAAAGCTCAGGGACAGTGCCTAGTCCCCGAGTTCAATCCCCAGGACTAGCAAAATAAAGTGTCTCTACTTAGAAATCTTGTGTTTTTTTTTTGATTATGGGGCTTGAACTCAGGGTCTGGGCAGTTCCTAAACTTCTTGCTCAATTCTAGTATTCCACCATTTGAACCACAGTTCCACTTCCGGTTTCCTGGTAGTTAACTGGAAATAAAAGTCTCACAGACTTTTCTGCTCTGGCTTGCTCTCAACGACAATCTTCAGATCTCAGCCTCCTGAGTAAGACTGAGGCATAAGCCACCAGTGCCCAGCTTAGTTGCTTTTTTTCCCCTTTCAGTTCTAGGGCTTGAACTCAGGGTCTGGGCACTGTCCCCGAGCTTCTTTTGCTTAAAGCTAGCACTCTACTGGAGCCACAGCACCACTTCTCGCCTTTTATGTGGTACTGAGGTATCAAACCCAGGGCTTCATGCATGCTAGGCAAGCACTCTACCACTAAGCCACATTCCCAACTCCAAATGGTAATTTTATCCAAGGGTGTCCCCAAACAAGTCTGAGATCTTTTACCCTAAGTTAGGAGTTCTAGGTTTTCACTGCTTCAGTTTCTTTATCCATGAACAATTTCAACACTTGTAAGATTTCTTCTTTGAGCCACAGCTCTACTTCCGGCTTTTAGGTGGTTAACTGGAGAGGAGTCTCACTGCCTTTCCTGTCTGAGCTGACTTTGAACTTCAATCCTCAGATCTCAGCCTCCAGAGTAGCTAGCATTTTTTTTTTGGGGGGTTCGGTGGTGGGGCCGGCCTGAACTGTGGGCCTGGGTGCTGTCCCTCAGCTCTTCAGCTCAAGGCTAGCGCTCTACCACTTGAGCCACAGCGCCACTTCTGGCTTTTTTCTTTTTGCTTATGTGGTGCTGGGGAATTGAACCCAGGGCCTCAGACATGCAAGGCAAGCGCTGTACCACTGAGCCACCTTCCCAGCCCTGAGTAGCTAGCATTACAGGCAGGAGCCACCAGCATCCAATTTGCAAGACTTGTCCTCTACAAGTCCTCACTAATGTGTCACGGACCTCCTTAAGAATAGTGTTGGGCTGGGAAGGTGGCTCAGTGATAGAGTGCTTGCCTTGCATGCATGAGGCTCTGGGTTCGATTCTTCAGCACCACATAAGCAGAAAAAGCTGGAAGTGGCGCTGTGGCTCAAGTAGTAGAGCGCTAGCCTTGAGCTGAAGAGCTGAGGGACAGCGCCCAGGCCCAGAGTTCAGGCCCACAACTGACAAAAAAACAAAACCAAAAAAACCCAAGAATAGTGTTACCTGCCTTACGTAAGGCCAGACCCAGGGACATCTGACAAAGACTACAATAGATTTTCTAATTTTAAAGGTTACTAGTTAAGTAGACATATCCCTTGTCAGCCTCTAGGACAACTTAGATCTACCAAAACTGTCAAAGTAAAAGTATCCTGAAAGCCTGGCACTGGTGGCTCATGCCTGCAATCCTAGGTACTTAGGCTAAGATCTGAGGAACACAGTTCAAAGGCAGCCCAAGCAGTAAAGTCCGTAAGACTTATCTCCAATAAACTACGCAGAAAAGGCTGGTAGTGGTGTTGTTCAATTGGTAGAACACTAGCCTTGAGCCAAAAACTCAGGGACAGTGCCCAAGCCCTCAGTTCAAGCCCTACACATGCACACAAACCATCTCCCCCTCCAAAAACCACCCAGTAACCCCTGAGATAAAGACCAATGAGTTTTGACTACAAATGTAACCTTTATGTTGAAAAACAAAAAAAATACCCCCCCTCCAAAAAACCCAGAAATGTAATTTAAGAGACCTGAGAAGCCAGGCTCCCAATGATCTGAAAAGATCACAAGCAGCATTCCAAGCCAAACTGTATCCAGCTTTATTAAAGATACTTTTCATAAACAATCATGGTATTTCAGGCAGGACATGGGCAGACAATCTTTTTTTGTTTTTAAACAGTATACAACAACTTTCAAACTCCCTTCTTGGATGGACTATCAAAATCAGAAAGCCACTATAAAACCCAATGACGTCTTCATTTGAATCTCTGAATAGGGAAAGTTTAGAGTGAGGGTTGACATTTCACATTAAACATGTTGTTTAACAACTTTTCACAAGCCGACCCTGACTTTCAGGAAGTGAAAATGGCAGAATTATCAATCTGAAAATCCATGATTTAGAAAAGGAAACCACTGCTCTTTTAAGGAACACCATCTCAATATGTCACTGTCAAGTCCAGATTGCCTGGCACATTGGAAAAACCAATTGGGGGGGGCAGGGAGGGTCAAGGTCCCGACTGGCCTCTGGTTTTAAGGGAGTTAAGTCTATACTGATGATGGAGGAGGAGGAGGAGGACAAGTTATTTTGAGTTTTCCCACATCACAAGGTGTTTGTGCCAAGATGGCTGTGTGTCAACATGAGGGAATTCCTCCTCCTGGGAGCCAACAAGAAGTCTCTCAAATCTAGCAGGGAAAGGTGTTTTCCCTGTATCTATCCAGCTTTGGAGACATTCGATTAGTGACAGATGCTCATTTCCCCAAAACAAGTGTTCTGTGTGCTAACAACATAGCTTTAAAAAAAAAAGTAAAACAAAATTTTGCATTTTTATAAAACTTGATAAAAAATAGTATTTCAAACTGTACAGTCACCAGAAGTACACAGCTATCAAAAATGCACACATTTCACTTGGCATCTCCAGCACCTTCAGCTTTCTGTGCCTGAAATAAAAAGATTAATAAGGAATTAGATGTATAGTGTCTGTTCAGATTTTGTCCTAGAGGAAGTTCAATACTTCTTGAGACTCTTATTTCTAATTAATCGACAGTGCCTTGACCCTGAATTCAAGCCCCAGGACTGGTGAACCTATAAGGATACAACATATATATTGTGAGCTGGTTGACAACTGCTTAATCCTGAAATCCTAACTATTCAGGAGACTGATACCCGAGAAGCATAATGCAAAGACAACCTGGGCAGGAAAGTCTGTGAGTGTCCCATCTTCAATTAACCACCACCACAGCAGAGCTGTGGCTGGAAGTGGCAGGCTGCTAGCCTTGACCACAACAAAAGCTCAGGGACAGCGCCCAGGCCTTGAGTTCAAGTCCCAGGATCAGCACCATAAGACAAAAGAAAAAAAAAAGGGGGGGGGAGGAGGGGAGAAGTTGGGGGGGAATGGTGTAGTGAAGCTTTAGTAGGATATCAGGACAACAGTATCTTTTGATAATGGAACAGATCTTAAGAATCCAGGATTTCAGTCAGCAGGAAAGCACAACATATTTGAGTGATATAGATTACAATGTGCACATCTACTGAAAAAAGAAACAACTGTACCTGGTCTGTTTTGGCATCTCCATTTTCTGCAGGGTTATTCCCATCCTTGCCAGCATCAGCTTTCCCCTTCTTCCCTTTGGGTACCTTCTCTCCCTTCTAAAAAAGAAGAGAAAGAGAACTGTTCCTCTTTATTCATGTGGGCCAGATTACAGTCTGCAAAGTTCTGTATGGTGTAAAAGGTAGGCTTGCTTACTGAAGCCAACTCCCCCCACCTATAATAAATGATCCAAACTAAGCCTAGTCATTAATTTACTGTGGTCTTCAGCATACAAAAACTCACATTTAGAATAAGCCAGGGCAAATACTTGAATGTTTTAACACTCCAGCAATTTTCAAGAAACTGACAAAGTTCTTGACTAGAAAACTAATAGGAATAGCAGGGATAAGGCTATCAAGACAACTTACAACATCCATTGATGGAGTCACCATTATGCTGAATTAGGTTAAGGTGGTGAAGGACAGTTCTCTTTCTGTGAAAATCACCAATTCCAGCATTAGCACTATTATCTCTGAGTTTCACTTACCTTTGCAGGGGCTTTTTTAGGCTTGGGCTCTGGCTTTGGAGGAGCAGGTTTCTTATTTTGGCAGGCAGCGGGGAAGAAGAGAGTATTTTAGTTCAATAGAGCGAAGAAACAAAACAACTCAATCACAGTACAAAGAATAGAGAGGGTTCTCCTACTTGCCAAATTTCTTATGGCTGGTTTTCTTTTGGAACGTTAGTTTCCCAATTCAGCTACAGCCACTGGAATTTCAGAACTAGTAACTCCCAAGGTGCAATACCCCGAGGTGGAGATCACCCAAAATAAAATTCTCTGGAAGCAATAGTTTCAAGAATAAGATAGGAAAAACTTTGCACTTACAGCAGACAACCTGGCGGATCTTCTCTGTGGCTATTAAAATAAAAACAGAAGGTTACTTTGTTCTGCATTACAGAAATGGAACACAACTCTAGGCAAACTGAGAGGGAGGTGAGTTGTGGTTGATTTACTAACAAGAAAAAATAAGGGGCACTTACCTCGTCCTTCACCTTTGCTTTATCTCCTTTAGCATCACCTTCGGCCTAGAAGGCATCAAGACAAAAACAAAAAGGAAAAAAACCCTGTAGCTCCTGAAGTAATCCTCATTGATTTTCCTCCGCAGGATTCTAAGAAAAAGTGCCACAACTTTCCCAGAACATGTCTGGCTCGGTTTCGAGGAAGCCGTCCACTGCTCGTTCCAGCCCAAGGCGTGTACGGAGGCCTCGGCCCGGCGGGGAAACTCTCGGGCAAAACCGGAGCCGGGCCGCGCCACCGCGCCAGGCAGGAGCAACAGCTGCAGCTGGTGCAAACAAACCCCTCCGGAGGCGGAGCCGGGCGCCGTTGCCATGGCAGCCGTCGAGGGCGGGAGAAGGGAGGCGCACGGCCTGAGGAGCTCGTGGGCGGCGGCAGCGCGCGTCTTGCGCGCCAGGGACGTGGGCGGGCAGGGGCGGAGCCTCGGGCGGCGGCCCCGCCCCCTCGCGGCGGCGGTTTTTTGGCGGCAGCGCGTTCCCCCGCCCGCCAACCCCGAACGCCGTCTTCCCGCCCTTTCGGGTTTGAATCGTACGCCCGCCCGCGGGGAGGGCGACATTCTGGTGGGGGAGGGGGCTCGGAGCCCGCGGGGAGCAGGATAAACAGCCAACAACATGGCTCCTCCCGCCGCCGCTGCCTCCTCCAATATGGCCTCTGGCGCCTGGGGAAGCGGCGCCGCGCAGGGTTAGCCCGAGGCCCCGACCTCGACTCGAGCCCCGCGCCGGGCGGCCGCGGCCCCTCGGCCAGCGCCGACTCCCGCGCCTCCGGCCGGGCGGGAGGCAGGGTGGCGGCTGCGGACGGCGCCCGCGGCCCTCGCGCCGCGCCGCGCCACGTACCTTTCTCTTGGGCATGGTGGCGGCGGGACGGAGGCGCTGGGCGAGGATGCAGCGACGCGCGGCTTGGGTCGGTCCGGGGGTCGTTCTCGCCTCTTCTTCACACTGCTCGGGCTCCGGGGGGTTTATAAAGTTTTTATAGCGCTGGGAGCCCCGGACCGGTTAGAACCGGATTTCACCTCCCGCTGCAGCTCATTGGTCCAGCTGGGGTCACGTGGGCGGGGTTTAAACTCACCTCCTCTGGAGGGAGTGAGGAGGGGTGTGTGTGGGGGGAGGGCGCGAGAGACGGCGGCGCGCCGAGGGGGTGGGGGCGCAGTGGGGGAGGCGCGCGGCGAGGGCGATCCGTGAGGCGGGGCGCGCGAGTCGGGGTTCCGCTCCCGCCAAGAGCTGGCTTTTGCAAACTACCAAGTTCCTTCCATCTTAAGCAACGAGCTGCCCACTTCTCCAAACCGTGCAACACTCGGGGCGCATCTCAGCAGCCTTCCTTCCTGCTCCCGCGGCGGGCCCCCCGGGGCGGGCCGGGGAGGCGCGAGGCGGGAGGCGCCGCCGCGGGGCCCTGGCTGCGGCGCCAGCGGGAAAAGCGCGGGGAGGCCGGCCTGGCGCGGGCGGACGTGCATCCTTCCGAGCTCCCACTTCGGGAAAGCCCTAGGTGCGCCCCACCTGGAAAGCCGTTCACTCCCGGTGGGGTGTCGGCTGCGCAGGGGGGGTGGGGGAGACCGTCCAAGCAGGGGTGCATTTTGGGTGCTGCTGGGCAGGTAGGAGCTGTCCTTTCAGCACCCGCTGCTCAGCTGCCTCCCCAAATGGTAACCGAGCCCCCAAAGCCTGGCAGGCGTCTCCAAGCCTTACGTCTCTGCATGCCCGGCCCTTAGGACCCAGTGGGAACGCAGCGCCGTCGCCCCGCGGCCTTCGGGCACTCCCCTCCCCCCCCCCAAGCACTCCCAGTCCCCGAACATCTAGTCCAGCTGCCCCCACTCGACGCGGCCTCCGAGCCTGGGCGCAGCCGACGCCGCAGCTGGTGAAATCCCTCCTTCCACACAGTCAAGCTGGCTTCCTTTCACTAGCGGGAGGAAATGGAGGGTGGAGGAAAGCACCGCGGGATTGGGAAACAAGTAGAGGAACAGGTGTGATAGCAAAAGGGCTCTTCGGGTGTGCCTCAGCCCGAAGCCAGGGGTCCTGGAAGGTAGGAAATGGCAGGAGCGAAGCAGGGTGTACTTCCGTTGCAGTTAGCAGACAAGTCTTACATCTAAGAATTAAAAAAAATCTATTTAGACCCACAACACAAGATGAGAATAAATATCCTCAGCGTGGAGGTTGGCTTTCAGGCGAGGGGACAGATGGCCTCGCCGGACTTTTTGAGGCAAGGGAGAGAGGCTAGTTTGCACAAATCAGGCCAGCAGAAAGAAAACAAAATATTTTGCTTCTTGCTTTGGGCAGCAGTCAAATTTGCATCTTTCCCACCCCCAAGATGCCTCCTGAGGCAGTGCTTTCCTACTCCACCCTTCAGTGTACCTTTCCCAGAGACCTAAACACCTCTACTGTATCCCAACAACCGGGGAAAGTGAGAAGAGACGGGACCCAAGCCACTATGCTCACAGGGCAGATTCCGCTTGCTGCCTCCATTCCCGCCTTAATTGTAGGGCTCTTCATTATAGCCACATAATTCATGCCTCCCTAATTAAGGCTGTCAACAACCCCATTGTAAAGCTGGAAATTGTACAGCACCTGCTCTCTGGGAGCTCTGTGCCAGGGACTGGTAGTGGGGAGTGCCAGGTGTGTGTGTGGCAGGGGGGGGAGACTTGCCAAAGGGTGCATCGATTGGCTTTTCAATTGCAGTGTTAGGCATTTATACTTGATTCTGGGAGCAGAGATGGCCAAGGCATCCCCAGTAAGAGGTATCCAAAGTACAGAAAGGCAGGATGGGACTAGGGTACAGAAAAATTAGGGATCTACAGGATGTACTCGACACTGCTTACAAGACCCCACTTCTCTCCTGGAGGTGCAGGGAAAATGGCTTGCAGAAAGTAAAATGAGAAGACTGGAAAGTAACATTCAGTATGGCTGGTACTTGCTACTCTGGGGCACCTGAAGCACAGTTGCCAGGCAGACAACTGGTCAGAAGTCCTAATCCAGCAACTCTGAGGAGGAGGTAAGGGGAAAGACCCTGCCCTCCTCTTCCTGCTGGGCGGCCTTAGCCTTAACACTAGAGAGGTGGGAACAAGGTTTGCCATGCTCAGGATAAATGGTCTTGGAGCCTACTTAGGGGGCCTCTGAGACTGGGAAGTGGGAATCAAGAGTTTGTGATGGTGAAGGCAGGGGTCAGCAGGCAGAGCCAGTTGGGAGAAATGCTTGGTTCTGCTCAGTCCTGTTGTGTTAATGTTGGATTAGACTCACCAGGGCCCACAGGCCATTCTGTTACCCTGTAGCCACGGAGGGGGCTAGTTTCCCTGGGAGCAGTGCCTGGCCCCAAGCCCTGCAAGAGGGGGAGAAAAGCTTGTGTGGGCTGAGTCGACAATAGGTAATTGGATTGTAATCACCCGCCTGGCTTCTGTGCACCATTGGGGGCGCTGAGCCTTTCAGTGAGCAATCAGTCCTGCATAGTGGGTGGGGGTAGAGCCTCAATAGCAAATCCCAGGTGGAGAGCCAAGGGGAGGAGCAGCAGATGGGCAAATTTTCTGTCTCTCCCGCCCCTTTCTTCCTTGCCTAAATAATTCTGGCTGCCTACTAGCTATTTACCAGCAGATCCAAGGTAGAGCCAAATCTTTTGTGAAAGTCTGGTGGGGAAGATGGATGGGAAAAAGGCTAGGCGTTGGGAAAGACCTCTTCCCTGCAATTCTACATGTTGAAAGACATACTCATGGAAACAAAGTGCATCCAAGAGCACAGGCAGATGGGGAAGGAGCCAGTTGAGTTAGGGCCCTCTGTTCTCCAAATCTATTCGTTACAAGAGTGGAGTTTAGTGTCCTTGTGGAATACTATCACCCTCAATCCTCCCCAGGAGTACTACTGCCCCAGGCAACCCAAAGGTATCCACTGCCAGCACATGTGGCCATGGGGGCTCTCCTGCCAAGCAAGAGGAGCAGAGCATAATTCATCACCAGAAGGGAGGTGCCTTTCACCAAGAAAAGGGAATGGGGCCCTGGAGGTAAAGGGCAGAGCACAGTGGCTGGTGGCCAGCCTCACTCAGGCTGATGTAGTGGCCAAACGTGCCAGCCAGTCAGCCCTTTTGCGTTCCAAGGCCTGCAGGAAGCTTTGGACTCGCTCTTCCCGTCTGGCTGAGAGTTTGCGCAAGCGTGTCCGTCGGAGCTGGACGTCCCCACTGGCTTGGAGCCCCTCTTGCAGCAGCTGCTCCGCCACTGCAGCCTGGTCCCTCTCCAGCTGGTGCCTCTTCCGCTCCTTTGCATACATGTCTCGGGCCTTCTGCTAGAGAAAAGTGGGGTTTGGGGTGGGAAAATTGTTTATTAAGCGTGGGTGAGCCTGGGATAGGGGTGGGGCACTAGGGGCCAAGTGAGGTAGCACAGTGGAGAGTTTGTACCAGCTCTGGAAGGAATTTTGGGCAGATATGCCAGAGGTGGTACCCATGTTGTACAGGCAAGGCAGAAACAGCTGTGGGTCCATCTTGATTTGGTTTGTGTGGAAGCATCTGTATTCCTTAAAATTGTCTCAGCCTTCCAGTAGGAAGGAAACCAGGCAAATGTGAGTCTGACTTCTGATTTCCCCACCCAAGGAGCTTTATGGCTTTGAGAAAATCCTCTCCTAACCTCATTTCTTCATCTGTAAAGTGGGGGTTGTGCCTACCTTGAAGAGTGGTTTTAAGGATTAGAGATAATATATGCAAAATCCTCTCGAGCATATTAGCAGGCTCTCAGAAAGAAACAGCAATTTTACATTGCATTGTCTACGCTCTGCTACAGGGAAGGTCCTGTTTCTATCAGGCACTGTTCACTAGGTCCCTGATGGTCTCCCAGGGCCCCCTCCCAGGCCCCTAAGCTACTTTGCTGGATTCCGTTCCAGACCTGCTTCTAGTATGGAGACAGCCAATAGACAGTCCTCCTATGAACACTCTCATAAGCCACTTACTACATCTGCCTAGAACAGGTATTATGGTCTACAGTCTGCTTTCTGCTAGTAAAGAAGTCCTTGAAGGTGCCAAAGAGCACCCAGGACTCCTGAAACCAAGCCCAACACTGGGTGGCAATATTGCCGAACAGCACTCCTTTGTGTATGTGACCCAGACAAACCATCAACTCCTAAGTGCAGAGAGCATGCTTTTTCTTCTTAGGAACCTGGGGTTTCCTGCACAAGTGAACCAGCCAATCACAATCACTGACCACATGCTCCCAGGAGAGGAGGTGGCTGCTCCTGGCTGGACCTCACTATTTTCTGTTGCTGCCAGTTTATCAGGCCTGCCTAGCCTTTTTACCAGACCTCCTCCTCCCAAACTTATTCCATGAGCAAGTAACCTTGGTGGGGATTTTGTCTTATTTTTGAGACAGGGTGCTCCCAAGGTTGTCCAGGCTGGTTACAAAATCCTAGGCTCAAGAAATACTTCTGCCAGCCGGGTGCTGATGGCAGACCCGAAAAAAAAAAAAAAAAAAAGAAATACTCTTGCCTATATCCAAGTAGCTGGGACTGCAGGCCTGTGTTACTACACCAAATGGCAACAGCATTTTTCTTTTTTGGTTGGTCGTGGGGCTTGAACTCTGGGCCTGGGCACTGTCCCTCAGCTCCTCAGCTCAAGGCAAGAGCTCTACCACTTGAGCTACAGCGCCACTTCCGGTTTTCTGGTGGTTTATTGGAGATAGGAGTCTCACAGTCTTTCCTGCCCGGGCTGGCTTTGAACCGTGATCCTCAGATCTCAGCCTCCTGAGTAGCTAGGATTACAGGCGTGAACCACCAGCACCCGGCTGCAACAGCATTTTCTTACAGGATACCTACAGGTTATCTTACACTGATGACTCTACCACTTCTGACCTTGTATTATGGTACCTTGTGTTCAGGTCTTGTCTAATCAGTCTAAATTCCTCGACTGCCCTGTCTTCATCTTAAGAAAAAAAAATCCTACCTGTACATAAGTACTTCCTTCATCTCTTGCCTCATTTGACTCTCAGAATGGAGCTGCAAGGGAGGTGTTACCTAGCTGAGGCTCAGAAAGGTTGTTTGCTAAGGTCTCAACAAAAGTCTACTGTATAAATAAAGATGATAAATG